TTAAAAAGTCGCCCAGTGATGCCAGTGAATTTGCAGGAATTAAGGATGGCGCTGTTGGTGGAGTATTAAAATATCCAGAGCAGATTCAAAACCTTGTAAAATCGATGCCACGTCAAACGCAAGCGGTGATCAACGCAAAAGAAGGAAATACTCCGTACTGAATTGAATGTTTTCTTTACTACAATTAATTAAGGTTTTTAGTTGAGATAAAAAAGTCAATGGCACGAGCGGGATTCGAACCCAAGATCTTCGGCTTGATACGCCGCTGCTCTACCACTTGAGCTATCGTGAACTCGATCCACTCGGACACCAACTTCCCATCTCAACCGCACCTTTTGAATTGAGATGGGAAGTTGGTGTCCGAGTGGATCGAGTTCACGATAGCTCAAGTGGTAGAGCAGCGGCGTATCAAGCCGAAGATCGTGGGTTCGAATCCCGCTCGTGCCATTGACTTTTTTTATCTCAACTAAAAACCTTAATTAATTGTAATATATTAATTGGTCAAGCGGACCACGAAATTAGTGAATTTAATGAGTTTTCTTTATTGTTTCCATAGCAACTTTTTGGTAATTTTTTTATACAGTTTAATTTTTGATTGATTTTATTCTATATCTTATATCTTCTTTAAAAATGTCCAGTAAACAAAAAAAAATTATAACAATTGCAACTATTTACTAAAAAAATGAGGGTGGCCACTTATTTTGCCTCTCAGTGAATATACAATTTAGAAAAACATCCCAGTTTCTCTTAAGAAGTGAAACTGGGGACCCAACAATTATCCCTCAGCAGAGTTATAGCTAAATGGTAATAACAAAGGAAACCAAATTAAACCGCCCGTCCGATTACCGGCGTTGGCAGAGGCTTCTCGAACCCTATAAGGGGCCAAGCCATGGCACCCTTCGATTCTGATCAGTGAATGTGAAACACTGTTCTCAACAAACAATTTTTGACCCAAAGGCAGGTGTCCGGGCGTTAATCGGGTATGGCCTATCCTCAGTGGGGTGAATCCTTTCGGTTCAGGTTCTCAGAGACACTGACGCTGGCAACACTTCTTACACATTCTTTACGGCTCAGGTCATTGGGCCGGACCGAGGTTAAAATAAATAAAAGTTGAAAATAAAATAATTGGAATAAGATTCTTCAAAATTTAAGGAAAGAAAAGTTCTTCAAAATAAGAAAAAAAATATTCTAATCATAAGATGTTACTGAACTTCTCGTCTATTGTAGGATTACTCGATTTAGTAGGCATACGAATTTATATTACAAAAATTAATCATGTTATAAGTCCCAGACTAAACACTTACTAAATTATCACATTAAAATGTTGGGAATTGTAAGTGGATCTACTTTTATTGTATTTTGCTGATTATCCTTATTGTCAATGTAAATCGTAGAACGATTTGAGGGAGAAGGAGCTTGAACTCTAGATTTATATGAAATTCGATCGTGACCCCGCATTGTGCGTGAACGGTTTGAGCACGTCAGCTATATTTTGGGATCGGGTAAAACGTCGGGGATCGGGGGAGGCGGTGACTTGCATCTGAGGTTTTATCCCTCAATCAGCCCGGGTTTAGGCGATCCCGGGGCGTAATAGTCCCAGAGGTCGGAGGAGCCTTGGGCATGGAAGAAACAAAACAAATTGACAGAAGCGCATGCCTCCGGGAATTCGTGGAGGATTTGTATAAATCTGGAAAAAGGGATCCGCCGCGGAGAAATATGAGCGGAAGACGTGAGGTCGGCGAGGCACGTAGGTCTACGGGATTCACGTTTATTTTTCACAATATTGGGAGTTGAGTACTCCTGTTCCTAGAACATCTATTTTACCTATCCACTGCACGACCGACAAAAGTCACATTTGTCTAACTCAACGTTATTCTTTCCATTTGGCTTGTGAAATTTTTAAATCCATCTAACACTAATCATTTTAACAGGGCACTCAGATTTCTTTTATGAATTTTGACCATGTATTTTCATTCAAGCGTTAAATTTATGACCAAAAATCGTATACAACCTGACCACAGCGATCCTGCCCTCTGATATATTGCTAAAAATGCAATAAAAAACATAATAAAAAGGGAGTTGCAGCGTCATTGGGCCGGATCGGCAGAGAAATTCTGGCTTATCAAGTGATGTCGTTAGGTGGCCTTAGGAAGATTTGACTAATAAAAAAGGATTATCCTCATCCGATTAAGAATAGGCCATGCGACTGACACACGGATTTTTACTTTTGGGCCGTGTATATGTCCGGCATGTAGGGAAGAGGTGCTCGATCGGTCCGACTTGATTGAAGGATGCCATTCCTTGGCTCGAAAAGCTTGTTGTGCTTAATCACGGCAGCGAATATTTGAACTACAGTTCCGATTTCTGGATCCGAACAGGACTGTTTTTTTTTTTTGTATGCAGGTACTGATAGATATCTTATTTAATGTTCCCTTTTGTGTACATTGAGAGTGAATGTATTTTATAGCGTGAATACGTTGGTGGAGAGGGCCGATGGTGGTATATTGATTGTAAAGAGTGATGAAGGAATATCGAGGACTCTCCTATCCTAATTAGTACATAGTGAATGGTATGTCCATAGGAAATGGTGTTTTTAAGAGTGAGTGAGGAGTAGATTTAGATTTAAAAATTGCAAGAGGGCTGGAATGATCTAGCTGTTGGCAGAACCTGGAGCCCAGCCTAGGCGTTTGGAAGGATAAGACGGCCACCCGAGGTAGGTGATTCTCGCGACCCGCCGACAAGTGTCCGATGTCAACCTCCCACGGCGTATGTTCTAAATTACACAAACTATGGTTGGTATATTCGATTTTATACTCGTGTGTATGTATGTATCAGTAATCAGCAAAAAACGTTTTCGACTGCTGTTATTTCAAATAATTATGTAAAATTAGTTTTAATTTTAAAATCAGTCTTTCATGCAAAACAACATTTTATCTTTCTATGCTCTTCTGTAGAGTTATAAATTATAAAATTACATCAACATAAAACTCTTCTATTTGTTAAACTGGGGGAAACTAATATCAAAATTGTTTGCCCCAAAGATCAACATCAATATTCTGCCCGTTCAAGTTTTGATTTGAGCGACTATATCTGTCGACTAGAGCTTATATTTTATAATATATCGACAGCTTAAAGTTTACTCGTTTGAAATCAGTGAATATTCAAAACGTTAGTTGGATGAAACACCTTTTTCCACTTCCCAGGCAATATATAAGCATAAGGGTGAATCTGCAAAGTGATACACTTTTTTGCTAAAAGGCTTATCACATAAAAAGCCCCTGACAACGCTGGTACGGTTTAGAACTATTCTTCCCACCACCTTACCTCTTTGCGTTCAATGCGAATAATGATAGACAATGATCAAATACATTTTGCGGTGGTTTTATTGCTAGTTCATAAAACAATCAATAAAATGTTGAGAAGATGGTTTCATTTTTGAGATTTGGGAGTAAACCATTTTATTTTAAATTTCTGTTTTGTCCTGAAACTTACGTATTTTATTTTACAGCAAAAGCGCCGTTAAAATTGAAGAATAGATCGTATAACTTGCTCGAGGTTTCGTCTTGCGCTGGTTAAGAATTTTTGGATATTTACGAGAGTTTTTGACTTGACGGTTCATGTCGGAAGTCGACCGACTGACTGGTGATCGTTCACATTCCATAAAGTTGTACCGACTAATAAATATAAATTAAAAATGAATTATTTTTAGTCAAATAACACAAGCATTTTTCTAAAACGAAAAAATTCGACCCAAGCCTAAATTAATGAAGAGTTTTAATCTGAGAGCAAGCTGATGTACAAAACTACGTCTGCAAGCATTGAGAAAATTTTTTGGTTTTTGCAACTCTTCAAACTCAATCAAGTTCGCAATTCAAAGTTAACCAATTGAGTAAAGAGATAAAAATTTGTTTGATTAGAAATAATGAGCAAGAGAGTTACGTTATCACTTTTGTACTTTACAATAGTTCACAAAAATCTTGTTTGATTTGTAATCTTTCAAACTGAGTTGTTATATGAAATATTTTCTTGCGGTGCGCTGATTGGTGCATGTTGCCGAGTGCTGAAGGATAGTTTTGAATTTTCTTCTCTCGATGCCACACACTCATCCAAGATAAATAGTTAATCCATGGGGCGGGGTTGAACCCACTCCATTCTCGCTAATAAATTACTTTTCCTTCACCCAAGATAAATAAATGTTTCTCGAGGACGGGTTGAACTCACTCATTCTCGCTAATAAGTGACTTTTGTTCTCCATACGCCAAACACTCATCCAAGACTACACGATATTCTTCGGGGCCGGGTTGAACCCACTCCATTCTCACTAATAACTTACTTTTCTTCTCCAGACGCCACACGCTCACCCAAGATAAATAAATATATCTCGGGGACGGGCTGAACCCACTCATTCTCGCTAATAAATTACTTTTCCTTCACCCAAGATAAATAAATATTTCTCAGGGACGGGTTGAACCCACTCATTCTCACTAATAAGTGACTTTTCTTCTCCATATGCCGAACACTCACACAAGACTACTCGATATTCTTCGGGGCCGGGTTGAAACCACTCTATTCTCGCTAATAACTTNTATATATATAATAAATAAATGCATAAAAATTTATTGTTTTTATTATTACTACTACTACTACTACTACTACTACTGATCGTTAGTTCTGGTATCTCATAAAAATACTCATAACAATAAAAAACTTAAGGAAAAAAATTATTGTTTTATTACTACTACTACTACTGATCGTTAGTTCTGATATCTCAGGACTTCAGGGATTTTTTAATATATATTAAAAATCCCTGAAGTCCTGAGATACCAGAACTAACGATCAGTAGTAGTAGTAGTAGTAGTAATAAAACAATAATTTTTTCCTTAAGTATTTTATTACGCTATTGAAAAATATTATATAAACAAATAGCTTGTCATACCTCTTTTGAGATGGGCCGGGATTAACGCCGTGGAATAGGAAATGAGAAAATTAAATACATCAACTTGTTTCATCCTTCTTTATTATTTAATCAATATATATAATTTATGTACCATTATACTAAACATAGCCAAGCATATATAATTGTTTTAACATACCATCATTGTTTTATTAAAATTAAACTAATGTTATTACTATATTTTAAACTTATTTTTACAGTTATCCTTTCGTACTTTAAACTTATACAGCTTTTTGTGCTCTAGATTTTTCTAAAGGATTGTTATCTGTTTGTAACTAATAGAATTGAAGCCTCACGTACAACTCCAAATACAAAAATAGCATTATCAAAGAAGCCTCAAAAACGGATCAAAAATAAAATTAATAGTTTACTAACTTCATTCTGTTCACACGCAAGCACGTACACACATTCACGCGCACACGCACACACATACATACACACTAACATGTTGTGTTTACGTACGTAGGTAAACTGTATGTCTGTGTTTGTATGTGCATGTATGTATATATTATATCACAATCAATTTACAAGTATTATATACAAATATTGAGATCATATTGTTTGATTACGTGACCTCTGTTTATCTTGTGCTCAATATGAACCCTTCGTCATCGACGGCTCTGGAAAGAGCAAAAGTCGGCCTGCCGGCGACGTCTAAGCTAAGTTCCAGCCTGCTTCCATGTCGGCATGTCGTACTACGGTATCACCTCCGCGATATGACGGCCACCAGCGCGGAAAAGAAGTAGAGGAACCAGCACGATGAGCCGGGAGTGGACGCCGACGATCGCCCTTCTTCCTCCAGCGGACCTAGTGAAGGTAAAGTGTAGTCTTGGCTCTCTGAAATCAAATCTCAGGCTCACTTCGTTCATACACCTTGCTCAAATATCAATAGAGGTGAGATTGGAATTTCTCCACCCTCACCAAAGAGAAAACACTTTTTTTTTTCTTACACCTATCACAAAGCGGCCTTCTATTGAATGAATCCGACTTTTACTTTACCCACGAATACAAATCGGCTTCAATTTGAAATGAAAAATAACGTACCTGTATCCCTCCATTCTTCCACGCCATAATCCTCCAGGACCTGATTTTCGGGTTGTCTCGGTTTCCACTGCTGTCGCGCCTTGTTTCGTCCTATAATCGATTTCAATTTTTTTACTTTAAAAAATTAGTTTTATTGAATATATATAAACTTTTTAACGTGTATATATATACATATGTAAAAACGGGGAAAAACTGAAAAATCTCTTCTTGTTGCCTAATGCTTCTCCTATCTGACTATCGTTGGTTATGGACATTGTTTTCAGTATTTCTGCTTGCTAGCCATTCTTTTAAATATGTTTTAGATTAAGTAATTTTGTTATGAAAATATGTAGTTTTATTATTCAATGAATATATATTTTACACTTAATGGTAGTGACGTGCGATACCAATCGATATGACTAAAGTATCGAATATTTTCTTTCGATACCGAGTACTTTTGGTATCGAATATGTCCTTCGATACAAGTACTGTATCGAGTACTTTTTGTAGTATCGGTAAAAACACTCAAACAGAGTTTTCATCGAGTGTTCAAGTAATATTGAACTGTTAGGGCGCCTACAACCGGCATGTGTCAACAAAGTTAATCGAGATTTCGAATTGGTGGTTGGTAACTCTGCTGATAAACCTGGTAACTTATAATTTCAGTAATTTTTTATAAAATGTTTTTGTTTTCAAGTAAATAAAAAAGTGTTCGCCTTCCTTCTGATAGGTAGATACATAATCATGTCACCTCTCAAAAGTAAGGCATGAGGTTATTTTACTAAGAAAACTGAATCGTCGTCAAACATTTGAAAAGAAAAAACCCGTTGATCAATTTTCTCAAAACTCGATGTGTCGTCAGCATTTCCTTGTTCTTACCTACCTACCCACTGTATGAAAAAATACTTAAAAATATGAAAAAAAATTCAAAGTTTTGTTTGTTTTAAAGCATGAGCGTATTTTACCCACAAGTCGACAAATGAGTAAGTTGAACATTTATGAATAAACACAAAGTACTCATATGAGTAAGTACTGGTTAGTGTCGAATAATTTCTGTTGATACTTGAGTATTATTGAATATTTCTTTCAGTACCAGTATCGAGTGAATATTTTCTAGTATCGCATGTCACTACGCAATGGTAATAAATAGTTCTGCCGTTTGGAACCTTGGAAATCTGAAGGTTAAAGGCAAATAAATGAGGCCGGCCCGATCCTAAGATCTTGTGGCAAGCCACGGCGAAAAATTATGACGGGGCAGTCGACTGTCGTCACGCGTCAAGTGGGTCTCGGGCTTTGTGGTCGATCCGGTAAGTGATGACTTTTAAAGGTTGCACTCACACCTGCTACCTTTCTTGGGATTAAGGGTATGCCTTGAATATGTATGAGGACATGACAGACGTACGTCACTTTTCCTTGTCAATTACCCGGTACATCGGCAGGTTGTCGGAGCCACGTCACCTCCTGCAGAGGGCGTAGTTATGATAATTGAAAATCTAGCAGGTTGATGTCTCCTGTTTGTCTTGAAAGTTCTATATTTAAGTTAACATATTAATATTATTTAGAGACGAGATTAACGGATGAAGTACGCGTTGGCCGTATATTTGAACTAATTACGGAGAAATTCACTATCATCTTTCATTCGCCTAATGCTATAATCACCCACTACTTATCCCTGTTGCTGCTATGAATTAATTAGGAACTTTTCGTTAACTAAAAGGAAGGTTCCGCCAAATTAATTAATTAGCATCATTAATGCAATCCATTTAGTTTTATACAAGATTCGTGCTTGTGTTATTTATTATACATCGAAAAGTTTTTGATTGGGGACTAAAAAAGAATATGTCTAAGAGTAGGTATTAATATTTGGTGATTCTTTTAATTCGATAAGAAAGAAAGAAATTTAATTTTTTTTTATCATAACCTTTTTTTTTAGGCGGTGGTTGTGTTGTACTAGGAGCTGCAGTCGTGGTGGTCGAGGGCGCCGGGATTTCTGTCAAAAGAGTTAAAATTAATAAACAATGTGTGGTGTTTAGTGACCGTTGGTTAATGATTACTTGGAGATCGTGAGTTGCGGCCTGGTGTGACGTAGGTTTAGAAAAAACATTTTATTTATCGTTCCAACGTTTCGACCTTTATTGAGATCATCATCATCTAAATACATATAAGGTGTTAAAAAATGGCACATCTACACAGAAGCACTTAGCAAATACTTTGATTGAGTCTAAAATTTCTATCATTGTGTAAATTAATTTTTTCACATCTTACATGTATTTGTATAATTTAAACAATGTTTATAAATCCCAGGCGCTGAAGATGTTCTCAATAAAGATCGAAACGTTGGCACGATAAAGAAATGTTTTTCTAAACTTACGTCACACCAGACCGCATCTCACGATCGCCAAATAATTAATAAACAATATGAGTGAAATTATAGTACAAAAAGTTACCGTCGAGTTTGATAAGTCCGTCGGTCTCTCCGAGCGAATTCTTGGCGACGCACTGGTAAGACCCGAAGTCGGACCTGGTCACCGATCTTATCTTGAGCATCATGTATTTGTTGTAGCCGTTGTCGACCGATACGGCTTCGTACTTTTCACCTGAAACAGACAGGTCTACACACCTATTGTATACCACATGTCCTTTCCGAGGAGTGCGTGCGAAGGTGTACGGGTACCGGGGTTTCTGTGCGCTGCGTGCTTATTGAGGCGGTCAGATCTACAACTCTCTACAATACACTCAAGACAAATATCAAACTAAAATACACAAACATGGATAATTTAAACACAAGACCATCTACTGTGACGAGATAATATTTTTATATATTCGTGTGAAAAATTCTGCCGTATAAATGTCTCAACTTTTTAATTTTAACACCTAAATCTGAAGCTTAAATTCTTTCCAATCAACTTACTTTGGTGAAAGCCAGGACTTTGTCCAGTTTCGTTGTCACGCTGAATCAGGCGAAAAATGAGAAATTAATGGGAATTTTGGTTTGTACCAAATTAGTAGACGACGTTGATAGATTATTATGCTTTTGTTGGAAGAGTTAGTGTATTTTAGTAATTACCGATCAATTTTGTCTGACAATCCTAGCTGTTTCGCTCTGTCAGACCGAGAGAGCTAAGCTGACCAAAATGTTGGGCAACGACGAAATAACAGAGCCATCACCCCCAAATGGCGACAAAATAAAAAGGAAATGGCGAGGTAGTCTACAAAATTGTTACTGTACGTATAAAGCTTTCTATGATTTATCTATGAGCAGAGCAGTTTTCAAGTCGTCGGCACTTTGTGTACACAAACATGGATAATTTAAACACAAGACCATCTACTGTGACGAGATAATATTTTTATTATATATATTCGTGTGAAAAAATCGTAATTTGAGCCGCGCGGATGTGGTAGTAGCGTGATGGGTCGAGATACCGAATTAGCCCCTGGCTATCTGACCCTTCACGTCCTCCTTGCCTTTGGTTCATCACAATTCACCGGCCGGATCGATAGAATAAAAATCGAAAATCCACTCGAAATGTTATTCAATAGGCGCTTACATTTTAATTTTCTCTCATTCTTTCGAATTCCTTATCTTCGATCGGGTATCACCGCTTTGGACGGAATCTTTAGGGCTTGCATCACCTACAAAATCGATCAACCAGCCGCTCGTTCTTCTTTGCGACCGACATATAAGATAAAAAATTGAAAACTCTGATCTATTTATACACCCAAAGGAAAAAAGATCTTATTGATGATTTCACACTATATGTATTCTTTATCGTTATAATTACAACAAACTTATTTTAATACCTCTTCTGGCTTCGCGGAGGGCCACTAAAAAGTCTCCTAGTCATCGAGTTTTTAAGCGATCGGATTTCGTGTTTTGAAACAGAATCACATTTTTCAACAAGAGCGTTTTGAAGCTGTTCAACGCTGGAGGCGGCGAAAGATGACTGAATGTTTTCATCATTTTCCACAAGTATTGGATTTATATCATCAGAACGTGTTGGCCAATTCATTGTGGTATCCCTACATCCTTCAAGTAATGGGTGACAACTCGACATATCCCGAGTAAATGGAGCGAATGAGACCACAGCTTCCATAATAACTTCCTCAATGTATCTTAGTGCAGTCAAAGATCCATTCTGTATGATAATCAGTTCGGTACCGGCATGGACCTCACCCAGCTCACCCACCGTTTGCAGTGCAGGCTACCTATCAAGAAAGCCGTTAAATGATGGTTTTTGTAGTGCGGTAAAGAATAAAATGATCTTTTCTAGCCGTCTTACATCGCGGTCGGCCATTACCTTTTTTTTTATCGAGACTTCCGATGGCCCTAAACTCCAGAGACCATCGTGGATGGTAGAGCGCGGCACACCCAGGGCCTGGCCGGTACATCCGTCATTAGCTAAAGCATCGAGCTATATCTTCTCGACTTAAAACCATGGTTTTAGGACAACAATTACTCAACTTTATTGTTTTATAAAAAACACTTTTTAAACAAATAAATAAGTGTCCTTTTTTGGCTTTGAGTGTATTTTGGAATTAGCCTATTTCGGCATATCGCCGTCTTCAGTGTCTTATATTTAAAGATAGAGAAATGCTCAATCGAGTCTGAGAGAATAAAATTAGAAAACGACAAAAATACCTTTCTTTCAAATTTCTTCACCTTGGAAATCTTTAGGCAAAATATTCGGCGGATTAGGTTTTTCCTGATCCTTATTTTATTTGATCGCTTTATTTCTTGCTGTAGTTAAAAAATAAAACTCCAGGGGCAAAATATGGTTTAAACAGCAAATGCTCTCAGGAAAAATATTTATATTTTATGGACTTATGACAATATACTGATAAATTCTTATTGAAATTTGTTAATCGACAATTAAATTTAATATTTATTTTCCAGGACCTTCTCTTTTTCATTGACATTTAAATTCAGGAAAAAAAAATTGAAAACAACAAAATGAATTGGGTAGGCGCGTCGCCGTTTATCTGTCTCCTTGGCCCGCGACGTGCTCTTTCATAAAGGAGTATATTAATAGGGGCCATTTCCATGCTGTTGGTGAACGTTTGGCGTATGAATAGGGAACGTCAGGGCATGAGGAACATGACTGGTCCCTTCTCACAACTAGAGACACGCTGCGAACTAATTGAGGACTTGACGGAAGTACGAGCAGAACCGAGATTAATTACGGCCACTAATTAAGTCTCAGGGCAGGGAATAGAAGCTCCTACAACGAGCGGCTTACACTCCGAAACCTTCTGCTACCCAAAACCTTCATTGCGCTTTAGGGGTAACGTTGAAGTCATTAAACGGTTTAAAAAGGGAACACGTAACATAGGATTTAATAGAAAAATGTGTCTACATTCCGTAAAGGTAGTGGAACATTTACCTGAGACGATCATATCTCCTTTCTCCGTCGTCCAGTAGTTTATCGACGTCGGATAAGCCTCCGTGTGACATTCCAAGGACACGTCCTGTCCAACGTAAGCCCCCTCGAGTTGGTTGGGGATCGACAGCATCGGTGGAACTGGAAATCAATGGGCAATTCAAACAATCGTCTTAAGTGTCCCATAGAATTTCGGACTATCATCATTACGTTTAAATTACCTGTTATTTAATAACACAAGTAAATAAAATTTATCATAAATTATTAATGTTAAAATCACACGCGCGGTGAAATAATTTTTTTAATTTTTCAAATACATACATCATATAGTTTTATTGTTGTCTTTTCACTTACGAACGATAAATAGAGCAAGAATACAAAATTAAATAAAATGCTGACGACGCATCCACCACAAATTGTGGATGAACCGATTATTTTGATATGTCCTTCATTATTCTTCTCGTGTGTCAAAGGCGCTGTAGATAGGTTGCCCTCGGAGAATCTGAATCTAAGAACGTTCATCCTCACCCAATTAAGGATAGGCCATGCGAGGTTGATGCACGAACACTTACTTTTTGGGCAAAGTCCGGTATGTATAGAAGGGTTACTTGTCCCACCTGACTGAGGAGTGCAATTCCTTGGGTCCATACAGAGAGCGCGTAGGAATGTCACCCGATATGAGAATTGTTCGTGAGCATAGCAGCGAGTATCTGGAACCCCCCTTCCAATTCTAGGAGAAAACAAGGCATTTTACTATACATAGTACTGATATTTTATGAACCTAGCATGGGTTAAGAGTGAATGTATTTATTAGCGAGAATGTGCAATATGAGAGGGCCGATGAAGAATATTGAGTACCCATCGACCCTCAGTTAACTTTGTTATAAAAGGTGACTGGCGATAAGTGTCGAAAATTTCAAGCGTTTCTACTCACCATATGCCACAAAAAACATCTTATAAACCCCTATTACAAATCTCAACGGTAAAGAAATAATTCCAGTTTTGGATATATTTTTTTATTTTCCAACTTGGGTCTACTAAATTGCTTATAAACTTTAGAATTACTGGCTGTAGTAGTGCCACCTGAAAGAACGTTAAATTTGCTGCAAGGATACCTATTTACATTGCAGAATTGATGAACTAATTCTGCACGAAAAAAAATCAGAAAAAACAAAAATGTTGAAATTTGGATTTTTTTTTTTAAATGTTGGATTGATAACTGATAATAACTAAAAACTCCTGGAGCTTTGCAAATTCCCTCAAAAGTTCAGCATTTAATTAGCTTCCAGCGGTATACTCACCTGTTTTTTATTGCTCTTCTGGAAGGCCCAACAATTTTGCATTTTGTTCGGAAAAAAAACCGGTGTCGATGAAGGGGGAACGCTCAATTTTTCGAGGAAATTAGTCTGGCTCTTGAGTTGCTAGTTCTTCATCGTTCAATCCAATCAGTTTGCTTTATGTTTTCAGCTGACATTTCCTTGGTTGGCGATTTAAATTAAGTCCTTGTTTCCTAATGAACATCTTGCTGATATGGATTTCATTTACGGTTACTGCAACGGTATTGCAAGGAGAGAATACCAAGCTCGTTTTCCACATCGAGTCGTTCCAGAAGATCACACCTTCTAACGACTTCATCAGAGACTGAGGAAACTGGTTCTTTATTGTAATAGGTGTAAAGGGTTTGGAGGAATATCGAGTATTCCACTACCCCAACTGAGTGAATGGTATGTAATAGTAAAGAATTTATTTAAGAATGAATGAGAGTGTGAATGGATTTGGATCTAGGAACTGCATGGTGCTGAATTGACCTAGGTGTTGACAGCGCCTGGAGCCTAACCTCTGTGGCTTGACGGATAAGACCGAGATCTGCCTCCGGCCTGCTTAACACCCGAGCTGATGATTCTCGAGGGCTGCCGGCAATTTATTGTAATGGCAAAAGCTGAAATAACCGGTGGACTGCGAGAAGTGATAGACTCAACTCTGTACATGTGAATGTATTTGTACATATTTGAGCTTATATAAATCCAAATCGAAAAACCCAATTCTACATTACAAAGGTAGGTGTGAAAACCCCAGTCCAAGATGGCTGTGGAATTGCAGTCTATTTCGTTCTTGTGAATTGTAGTAGAAAAAAAGTGAAGAGATGGGATTAAAGAATTTATTAAAGAGACGCCATTCGAAAGCACTCTAATGGAGTGTCTGATGTTAGCAACAATTTGTGCTAATCTCTCCCAAGAATTCTAGAGAGGTCGCTCCTTACTTAACCCACGGATTCCTTAATTACGGCCTCACTTCCTCCCTCGAACACTTTACAAAACGGAGATTACTCTACTTTTTGTCCTGTAAATTAAATTTATTTTAATGGGATTTTAGCATCACTAATTGAATTTGTAATTGCCATAAAAATTGTTATTATTTCATGGGACATCTAGGAAAATGGCTCTTTTTTGCTATGGTTTTCCACTATCAATTATTTTTTTAAACTTCAGGCACTCATTGTTACTTATCGTGCGACAAAATAATTATGTTTTAAATCATCAAATTTGCCCATATGGAAATTAAATTAACAAATGAATCATGATCTTTTTGGTCAATTTCTCTTTTTTTGACAGAAAAAATACCGTATTTTGCATTTGATTTCAAGACGTTGAGACATTAGCATTAAATAAAATACGAAAGTGCTCGCTTGAAACGACATTTAAAAATTAATAATTTTAATTCACCCTTTGATTGAATTTTTTAAAACCTTCTTCGAGCTGAAATGAAAACTTTTTCTTAAAATATAGGAATAAATAATCCTGTTGATCCTTCCTGAAAGCGGTAGAGTAGGTCAGTGAGTGTTAGTTCTGGGGTCGAAGTATACCCACGTCTAATTAGTTGTCTGACGTACACACAGTCCCTAATCAAAATCGAACCACAAACGAGACAGAATGCAAATCGAGAAAGCGAGAATTACAACATAATTTCCGAGACTGTTAGCCATTATGAAACTTTTTATGTTTTACATATTTATTGAATTTACTCTTCAGGCGTGGAGTATCATATAATACGCTTGCAACCCTGAGAAGCAGCCAAAATTGATTCAATTTGTAAAATGTTTTATGACCATTTTTATTATTGAGCTTTAATGATTATGAAGAATATGCACTATTACAATTAATTAAGGTTTTTAGTTGAGATGAAAAAAAGTTAATGGCACGAGCGGGATTCGAACCCACGATCTTCGGCTAGATACGCCGCTNACCATATTAAAATTTGTTATTTGCGTTCAGGTAGACGAGCGAGAAACCTCGACGGGAACTCCTTAGGATCATCAATAGAAGAATTTAATAACGGTAAGTGGTTTTGGATTTTATTTTAATTATATTTTACTTGTAAAGTTATCTAATATACTCAAGTATGTTTTTTTAATTAAAAATAATCTTAGTCGTAACAAAAGTAAAAATAATAAGTAGAAATTAGTTATTAATTTTATGCAGTTTGGTCTGTCTGATCATTTTGATATGCCTAGTCTCGCTGGTTCGGTATTGCAAAAGATTTTCGGCATTTTGCTTACATATAATGAAGGTTAGGATGTTACGAACGTTTTGTAGAATGCACTAATTTCGTGGTCCGCTTGACCAATTAATATATTACAATTAATTAAGGTTTTTTGGTGAGATAAAAAAGTCAATGGCACGAGCGGGATTCGAACCCATGATCTTCGGCTAGATACGCCGCTGCTCTACCACTTGAGCTATCGTGACTTCAATCCACTCGGACACTAACTTCAAAAAATGGGGTTGAGATGGGAAGTTAGTGCCCGAGTGGATCGAGGTCACGATAGCTCAAGTGGTAGAGCAGCGGCGTATCTAGCCGAAGATCGTGGGTTCGAATCCCGCTCGTGCCATTAAGTTTTTTCATCTCAACTAAAAATCTTAATTAATTGTAATGTATTAATTGGTCAAGCGGACCACGAAATTAGTGAATTTAATATGCACTATGTTTAAGCCTCATTACAAAACGCTTCAAGTTTATTTTCTAACTAGTATATGTATAGAAAATAGTTTATTAAAACGGAATTACTGATGAATGCAAACTATTAACAAAACGCAAAACTAAAAAAAAAAACGATTGTCTATGCTACAATGCATGCAATATGCAATCAATTTTTAGTATTGTTGTAAACCATCTATTATATTCAGTGGTCTATTGACCAAATTACTTCTTTCAATTAATTAATCTTTTTATGTAAGGTTTTGGTTGAAATGAAAAAGTTAGTGCCACGGGCGGGATTCGAACACACGCCTTCGGCTAAATGCGCCCCTGCTGTACCACTTGAACTATCGTGACTTCGATCCACTCGGACACTAAACAACAACAATGTTTTAAACAATTAAATCAAGCATAATCTCTAAACAACACCAAGATAAATAGTTTTATGGCACGGCTATGTAAAATGTATTTTGTATCAGCTACCATGTTTAAGAACCACCATATCAATGCAAAGGTGTTAAAAAACCTGGTCTAATAGTAAAGTGTTAACTAAGAGGGAAGGGTAAAAAATATTTATGAATATTAAATGTTTATCGGATTGACGATGAATGCTTGGATCCGGGGTTAGCGGAGGTTATTGTTTCATGGTGAAAACAAATGTTCAAACCACTTTTCATTTGGCGAAAGTTGAGAATATAATGCACTATAACTATAAAGCAGTAAATTACTTACATTGAACTCTCAGCATGACTCTTTTGCTTATAGACGGAGGCACTCCGTTACTGGCGATGCAGAGATAAGCTCCCATGTGGAGCCGGCTGACTTTGGTTATATGGAGGACTTCACCATCGACCACGTTGACTAAAACATAAACAAAAGGCACTTTTAGGTAGAAACAAAGGGAATCGAGTTCGGAAATATTTAAGAGCACAGGTGTCGGTGGCATTAGCTAATTGGACGCGGGACTTTCTCATACAATATGCACCGGAGTATTATTTACGTCGGGGTGTGATTGCGGAATCGGCCGGAGCACGTAGGAGCCGGATTCCCTCGGGTTGGAGGACCGGACTATTAGACTAAACTGTTACACCCTACAAGCCGGCCAGTTTCGTTCTATCCCGCCCTTTCTTTGAAGACCAATTTCGTTTTACACCTGGCCGGCGGAATAAAAGCTGCCAAGGGAAATAATTGGAATGAGCTAATTTTCTTCCTGGACCGGTTTCTTCTAGGTTTGAGGGCATCCTACGGCCGGACCTTCAGGTCAAATTCGACTGGCAGGTCTTAAAAGCTATTTTTAATTGAAAAGCGGCCATTTTTTTGGCGGCTTAACACCTGAAAAATGTTTCACATATCGACTTTTTTTTTTAAATGTGTAAGTCACGAACACTCTGGATCAAGGTATGGTCTTGAAGAAGAAATTTAGTTCCTACTGCCAAACTTACTACCTATTTTAAGGTCATCATCAGTGCCTATATTAATTTCCCATTATGAAAAACATATTTATACAATTGATTTAACATTCAATATAACTATGCAGAACTTATAAAACGCCTTAAATGTGTCTACAGATTGACAAATTTAAGTTTTTACTTTTCTTAAATTTCCCTGAAGACTGATTCAGTCCCAACATGACCGTAATGGAACCTTATCCCGGAGGTCCTCTCGTTATCAAATAACTTTTCATAAAATTAATAAGACCTTCATAAATTGAAATTAAGCCCATACTATCTGTCTGAATGTTACAATTATGATTTTCCATTTTAGCATGTAGAACCAGTTTTATTCTTCTTCTGTGTAATTGAGACTCTGTCAATTATTTCAAAATTCGGCATATTTGTGCCTTTTTGATATTGAATGTTTTGATAGTCAGGTACCAGTTCTGGATTTAGTGCCACAATCACAAATATGACCATAAATTATAATTTTTATTCTCTGTTTTGTTTCACCCATGTGGTGTGATTGGACTTATACGATACTTCTAATACTGAAAATGTGTAAGTCAAGTAGGTAAATATACTTCTTGTATAACCGATGATGCCGGGTAGTAATACCATTGGTATTTTGGTCTTTTCCTATAATTCAGTCTGACACACTTCTCCATCAATAGTATTGGGTTTGTTTTGTTAGTTGATTTGACAAGCTAAACAAGAATGATTGGAAACGACCAAACTACACATATATTTATGTTTCGGACAAAAACTTGAATGCGTTATTACTTATGACTATGCTAAATGATCAAAGGACAATGATTTCCTTTTGTATACAATTCACAAAATGACCAATCGGATAAACTGGTGTCTTGGGCATTCTACGGATTCTTTGAAATCTTATATTGGACGTGGAGACCTATAACAAAGAAATACTTCTTACAATAAGGGAATATTAAATCTCCCTCCTAAAAAGCATTATATTGATTTATTTCCTCTGTGCGCAGTGTTCATTGAAAGCTTTCCGATAGGTTTTTCCACCCAAACGGATTTATTGTCTATATCTTACAGCAAAGTCGGCCCTTAAAGGCTGCTCACTACCTGCAATTTTTTGATTCTATATGAGACGTATGAAACTACCCCGTGGATTTATTCATTCATGCGGTTCCGTCAAATATTTCTCCCTTTTGTTCTTTTATGAAATCCAATTTTATATTAGCCGTTCTTCTTAACTTCTACTTGGCAGTATTTTTGAAAGCGGGTTACACATTTAAGTCGATTCGTAACTGAAAGCATTTTTTTCTCGCGTTACGTACGGACTTAAACGCCAAATCGTTCGTATCAACATAGTTGTATTTGTTTATTCGTATTTTGTACTTTTTACAATTATCATTTTACAATTTTACAGCGACCAAATTCCTGTTTTAGCACCACGAATGAAAGTGAGATAGCGTAGCGACTAGCGACAGCTTTAAGATATAGTCCTTAAAAAAATGCATCGTATTCCACCAGATGGTTTGTCCCCTTTATTTATTGCTTTTTGTCGGACCAACTTACTCATTCCTATTCCGTCTTGTCTTGTACACGTTGTCGTTGGATATGGATCTTTGTCCGCTTTTTCTCTTATACTAATACAAGTATATTATTTATTCTTCAATAATTGTATGATATTGTAAAAATTGAATCGTGTTTAAGCAGCAATTTTTGTGTTATTTTCGTAACTTTCTCGTTTCTCGTACATTTTTATCTCGCTTTTGCTTTGGCAATGTAACGTTCAATGAGACAAGCTAGACAAGCTAGATCTAGTCTGATAGACAAGATGATTTTAGGGCACAGATTTGAAGCGATGTTAAGACAAACACTTTGAGTGAGTAGAAATACTTTGATTGAATATATAAAAAATATATTTTACATTGTATAAATTCACTTTTTCACATCCAAAATGTAATTGTAATATGTAAACAATGTATGTAAATCCCAGGCCCTGAAGATGATCTCAATACAGATCGAAACGTTGGCACGATAAAGAAAATGTTTTTCTGAAACCTACATCACGCCAGACCGCATCTTACGATTTCTAAATAAATATCGATTAATGGTCACTAATCACCACACATTTCTACATCGATGTTAAGAATGATTTGTAAATTAAGTAAGGTTTTGATCGAATTTGGCACCCAGGCTTGATATTCATGCTCAAGGGCTTCCTTCCCTCCACTTACTATCTCATACTGCACTGACCGGTTTTTCCGAGTAATATTTCCCTAATCCATGCTGGTGTTCCTCCGGGCACCCTTCTGGTCCCAACACTATAGCAGTTGTACACAGCTGACATTCTACTGCATTCACGTTTACAGCGATCCTCTCTAGTAACTCCGATCCTGCATGTCCACTCGAAACGAAGAGCATTAAAAAATAAAAAGAAATCATTAAGAAAATTATTACACACAGGTCCACCTCATTAACTTCATTCTCCATAAAAACATCTGTCCTCTTGTATATTTAAATAGTATTCCCTCCCCACTGCGGACTAAGTGTGCCAGCTCGGACAAAAGCTTGACGTGGAATCCTAACACTTGACTGAATCGTCAAGAAGCTATGAAACGAGACAGGGCCTCTTACACGTCTTCTTGACAAACGCTTTGAATCACGTGTGGTGATTAGTGACCGTTAGTCGAAGATTATTCAAAAATCGTGAGATGCGGTCTGGTGTGATGTAGCTTTCAGAAAAACATTTTTCTGAAACCTACATCACACCAGACCGCATCTCACGATTTTTAAATAAGCTTTGAATTACCTTTCAAAAATAAAGGGCTTCTTGAGAACACCAAGAACAGTTGATATGAAGTCCGAACTGGAAGTGTGTGGTTCAGCCGACTGTTCCAACATTCGTTGCATGCAAGCTGCCCGATATTACGAAAAATATTTGATGCTCCATTTTATGTATAACACGAAATTACACATACAGATTTAAATATTCTATTCGTCGTAGATAAAATTCGTTGTCACAAGTTTCACAAGACACACGTTATTCACCACATCCAAAAAACGCATCCCGACAAATTCCCTCGAGCACTCGTCGCCTACTGAAGAGACGATGTCCACGAGATCTACGTGATTTTGACACAAGCGTCATTGGAAAACTAGCAATGAGTGTTTTCTCCTTTCTTGTTTTTAATATTGAATTTGTTGCCTATATCATTGTTTAATTTTACCGAATTGAAGGTATCCTTCTATACTGTATTGAGCATTAGCGCATAGTTATAGTATGTTTTGGATTGTCAAAATAAGCTACAATCTTGCGTTTTAACACCTTGCAGAAACAGACTAATTTCAAAAGTGTAATACGTTTATTTGATTATTGTTGAGTTTAAAACTAGCTAGATCGATAGTAGGCGCAGTCAGTCTCATTAAAGTAATGGAAGTGAGTTCGGTACAGCTAATATTGTCTGGAAATCCGCTTAAAAGCCAGTGTAAACAAGAAAAACATAAAACTAACCGTAACAACCAAATCAAAGCAGAGTAAAGGAGGAGGAGGAGTAAGAGATAATCGAAGGCATTGGCTCACCCCGACCTTTTTTTTGCCAACAATCCAGCAGAGTGGTCCGAAGGAGCAACGTTTCCCCCGCTGTGATCAATCCTGGATAAGAAATGAGGGAACGGAGCACGGCCGGTTGTATTTGGTCAGTTATTATTTTGTTGGAAGCGGTTTTCTGAATTATTCATGGTAAGATTCTTCAATCAATTTCCTAACAATTAACTTATTCAAAATGGAACAAAATAATGAATGATGTTATTAGTTTTATTCGAATATTTTTAAAAGTATCAACTGTAAGCGGTATTTTAACACAATTTTATCTATGATTCTTGTCTATGATTTGAAAATTGTGCATACTATTATGTATACTGTTACAAACTTAACAACATAAACATCTCTGCACAAGTGCTCTATTAAAACTTTAGTTTTATATCCTTTCTGTATCTATGCACAGTTTGAAATTTAACTTCAACATGTCAATTATACGTGACTGTTGTGAATGCGAGAAAACATTTAATAGAAACGAACCGAACTCAATTAACCGAAGAAGAACTTTGTAATACGAACAAAAAGCTTCAAGATAAGTTATGCTTTCACTACTCTGTACACTTCACTAAAAGAAATAATATTGCTGCACTAGTACAGTTGAAGTAAGATAGTTTTTCTAACCTCCAACCTAGTGGATGAAATTATAACTGAATATGAAGAAAGGGTTAGAGTTAGTTTGGTACAAAAAAGCTGCACGTTATTTTTAAGTGTTTTGATAAATGATTATGGATAATTTCATAAGATAAGTCAAGATAAGTTATGCTTTCACTACTCTGTACACTTCACTAAAAGAAATAATTATGCTGCACTAGTACAGTTGAAGTATGATAGTTTGTCTAACCTCAACC